AGAGTTAAACTGGATTATCAACTTGATTGGGGATCAGTAGAGCACACTTCCAAGGCGTGTCTGGGTGGGTCACTGAGGCATGATCTAGGGTACTATATCTGGTTCCTGGCTCTTTCCTCTTTGGTACTGTTTCCCTGCTCTGCTTCCTGGCCAATGGGTGAGCAGCTTTCCTCCACCAGGCCTCTTGCAGCACATTTCTGACTCAGAGCCAGCCAAACCTGTACTGAATTCTCCAAAACTGTGAGCCAAAATAACTCTGTACTTATATATTCGGAAGGTCAAATGCTGTTCAGGCAGCTCTCCTAGTTCCAAGGCAGACCAGCCCTTCCAAGACTTGTCCTGCAGTCATGACCATCCTGACATGTCCACTTGAGATGTTGTGCCTCCCTGTGTGTGCTCCTTATGTATTCTCCTGGTGGTCTTGGGCTGGTAAGCTTTAACATTTGAAACTTAATTTAGAATTAAACACTCAAAATCTTATCTTGTAAAGGTAGTCTCTGTGGAGATGGCAAGAGGATCTGGCGATGTGGGAGACGAGAAGGAAGGGAAAAGGAAGTAAAAAGGATTAAGATGTAATATGGTTATGTACAAACTGCCCATGATGAATGCATTCAGTATGTATTGCAAATAAGTATTAATTAAAAAATTAAGCTGGGTGTGGTGGCGCATGCCTGTAATCCCAGTACTCAGGAGGCTGAGGCAGGAGGATTGCTGTGAGTTTGAGACCAGCCTGAGCTACATAGTGAGTTCCAGGTCAGTCTCAACTACACAGTGAGACCCTGTCTCAAAAAACAAAAAAAATAGTGTGAAAAACAAATATAAAATATCCCTCTGTTCCTTTAAGTTGTGATATCAGGCAATGCATCCCAGTGATGAAAAGCTGATTCATAAAGAAAACTGGTACTAGAGAAGCAGGGTTTGTTGCTGCGACTATACCTGGCCATGTGCTCAGTAGCCTTTCGAACTGGTCTGTAGGAAGAATTTGGAAAGGTTTGGAGATGCGGGCTAGAGAAGCCCTAGAATGCTGTAAGCAGAGCCTGACTGGCGGTTCTGGTCAGAACTCAGAACTGACTAGAATGCTGATAGGAATGCAGACAGTAAAGATCAGACTCAGGAGATTTCAGATGGGAATGAAGCCTTCACCAGGAACTGGACTAGAGGCCATCTGTGTTACATATTCTGGCAAAGAACTTGTCTACATTTTGCCCATGTTCTGAGATTTTGCAGGAGGCCGAGTTTAAAGGTGAAAGACTAATTCATCTGGTGAAGGAAATTACAAGGCAGCCTAACATTCAGACTGTGGCCTGGGTACTGCTGGCAGCCTTTAGTCAGACTTACAGCAGGAACTGGGAGAAAACAATATGGCAGAATGACTGGAAAAAGTCAAATTTTGGCCTGAAAGAACCTTATGAGTTCAACCACTGAGACCAAAGGAGGTGTGATTGCTGAAGAGATTAGTGCCATTAAAAAGAAACCAACTTGGATGGAGATTTAGCTCAGTGATTCCGCTGCCTGCCTTGCAAGCACAAGGTCCTGAGTTTGATCCCCAGTACCAAAAAGAAAAGAAACCAAGTATGGCTGGAGATTTAGCTCAGTCAGTGGCACCATCTGCATTGCAAGCACAGGGTCCAAGTACTTTGAACAAGGCAAGAAAAAAGATGCATGTGGGGAACCTCAGAAATAGCAAGACCCGTTCATATTTTAGGGTTTAATAAGTTCTGGCTTCTTAATTATATGGGGGGGTCAAGAAAGAGAAAGGAAGGATGGATTTGCAAGACCCCAGGCCAGGTGTGGTGGTGCATGCCTATAATCCCAGCACTCAGAAACCTGAGGTAGGAGGACTGCACCAAGTTCAAGGCCAGCCTGGTATACATAGTGAGACCTTGTCTCACACACACAAAAAAAATAATAATAAAAAACAGAAAGAAGAAAGAAATTAGCAAGACCCCCATCCACCCATCACAGGTTCCAAGGTACAAAGGTATCAACCTTTCACTTGAGAAGAGTCCCCGAGACCCTCAGTGAAGGCAGGCTACCTAGGGAATTGGTTCTGCAGGATTCATTTAACTGTGTTCAGCTATCTAGGCATTCCAAGGCTACTACAGCCATGGTAGAAGAAGGCCTGGCTAATACTGCTTGAGCTGATGATAAACCTTGCCTTTATGTACATAATGTTGAGTTTTTAGCAATATAGAATGCTAGAGTTGTAGGGTCATGGAGGCTTCCACCAGATTTCAAAAGACCTTAGAGACTAGGTCCTGGGACAAGGATGCACAAAGCTGTGGGAATGAAGCTGAAGATGAAGTGGAGACCCTAGGAAGTTGGAGACGCCAGGAATGTGGACTGTCCGCTGAAGAAAGCTGCATCAAGCAGAACCAGCCTAAGAAAAGCTGGGAGGGCTGCAACCATGCAATGGGGCCACCCAAGCCCTTTGGAACTTTTATCTCACCACTCTGTGTTCTGGACACTGGACATGGACCTATGGGACTTAATGTTTGCCCTACGGGGTTTCAGTCTTGCTTTGCTCCTATATTTTTCCATCCTCCTATTGCTTCCTTTTACACTATGCATCGTATGTTGGGATTATGTAACTTGCTTTTTGTTACAGAGATTCAAAATTGACTTTGCCTTAAGTTTTAGAGGAGACTTTGGTCTGGGGCTTTTGTTGTAAGTTTGTTTGTTTGTTTTTTCATGCAGGGTATCCCTTTACAGTTCAGGCTGGCCTGAACTCACTATATAGCCCAACCTGGCCCCAAACTCCAGGTGATCCTCCTGTCTCAGCCTCCCAAGTGCTGGGATTACAGGTGTGCACCACCACACCTGGCTCTGGACTGGGACTTTTAAGCAATGCTGGAACTGTTGAGCCTTTGGGGAGCACATTATTGCATTTTTATTTGCAAAAATGATACTACATGATATTAGGCAGAATTATGACATTATTGCCTATATTTGGAGAGTAAGTATGAGTTAAAGACATGTCTTTGGGTGTCAAGTTAGCAAGGGTTGAAATTTGACAATTTAGCTGAACTCTCAAGGTGATTGGCTTTAGAACCACCTAAGGGATTAGTAAAGCAGAGTAGTATGGAGGCATCAAGTAGGCATAATCTTGGGTCCCATATCTGGTCCTTGGCCTCTTCTCAGTGGCATAATTCCCCTATTCTGCTTCCTAGCTGCCATGAAGTGAGCAGCTTTCCTCTACCAGATACTTCTGCCATGACATTTCTCAGAGCCAGTCAATTGTGGACCGAACCTCTGAAATCAGGAGCCAAAATATACCTCTCCTTCTTTAAAATGTAGGTGTTGAACATTGTGTCCCGGTGATGAAAAGCTGACTAATATGGTTGAGAAAACCTAAAAGCGAACTGGACAATAGATTCTATGAAAAATAAAACCCAATATGCTTAGTTGTAATCATGGTGGGGTTTTTTTTGGTACTGGGGATTGAACCCAGGGTCATGACTTGCTAGATAAGTACTTTAACACTGAGCCAAATCTCTTCTACTTATTCTTCTTTTGTTGTTGCTTTTTGTTTTTAATTTTTGTTTTTTAGATTTAGATTTTTTAAGACAGGATCTCGCTATCAGGCTGGCCTTGAACTCACTATGTAGCATAGGCTGGCCTCAAACTTGCAGTAATTCTCCTGACTCGTCCTCTTAAATACTGGGATTACAGGCATGCACCACAACCCCAAATTATACTTTTTCATATAATCTTTAATCTTACAATTTTCAGGCCCAGGATTTAGGTCAATGGCAGCACCCTTGCCTCACAAGCACAAGGTCCTGAGTTCGATCTCTAGTATCCCCCCAAAAAATTTTCATATTGAGGTATTTAGGAATCAAGTATGATGCCTCCAATTTAATTTCAAATTTTACAGAACCGAGGTGCTAGGGGTGTGGATAAGTAGGAGGGCACTTGGTTAACACCTGTAAGACCCTGGGTCCATCCTCAATATGAAGAAAAAAAAGATAGAAGAAAAGGTAAGGGAACACATGTCTAAATTCCAGCTCCTGTCTGTCTGTCTGTCTGTCTGTCTGTCTGTCTCTCTCTCTCTCAGAAGAGAGAACTGAGAGAATGACAAGAAAGAGGTAATCATACCAGGTATGATGTCACTTGCCTGTAATCCCAACATCCGGGAGGCTGAGGCAGGAAGATCGCTGCCAGTTTGAGGCCAGCCTGAGCTACATAGTGAGATGAAGGACAGCCTGAACTGCATAGCAAGACCCGGTCTCAGAGAGAGAGAGAGAGAGACAGAGAGACAGAGAGAGGGAGGGAGGGAGAGAGAAAGAAAGAGGTAATCAAGCAGCTATTTCAAAATGTCATTGAGCTGTAGAAAGATAAATTCTCACATTGATCATACCGATTAATTTCAGATCTAATGAAAAACTATCCCACATCTAGACAATAAGATTTTAAAACATAAGAAATAATTTTTTTCTCTAGGAATCCTGTGTTGCTGCTTACCAAGACAGGCTTCTGTCCCTTCTGTCTATCAAGCTCTTAATAAATTGCATTCTTTGTTAAAAAATAAAAAAAATAATAATTTTTTCAAGCCAAGCATTTTGGTGCCTCTCTGTAACCCCAGCACTCTGCGAGGATGAGGCAGGATAGTAAATTCAAGCACTGTTTGGGTAATTTAGGAATTTGGTGAGACCCTGTCCCAAAATTCAAAAAATGTAAAAGGGAAAGGAGGCTCAGTACAAAGCCCCTAGGTTCAATCCCCAGTACTATGAAAAAAGGAAGGAGGGAAGGAGGGAGAAAGAGAAGAGGGAGGGAGGGAGGGAAGAAAGGACGGAGGGAGGGAGGGAAAAGAACTTATTGACAGAGTGCTACTTTAGGCAGGAATAACCTGCTGATGTACATGTGTGTGCACAATCCCAGTAAACTGGCCCAAAGCCAACCTGACACACAGGGGGCCCCCAACCATCACCTCTCTCCTCCAGAGCCAGGGGACCCCACCCAGCTCCCTCCCATGCCCACCACACACTCATTTCACTTACCCAGTGCTCTGCATTGGAATCCACACACATCTCCTTGGAGCCCCCTGGCTGGGCAGAGCCTGCAGAGTCAGGCAACCATCATAGGACCCAGGGATCCCACCTGCTTAGAAGAGGCTCCCCCACTCCCACACACACAGCCAACACTGTTTAGGAAGAATTTTGGGAAAAACCCCAAAGAAAAGTAGAATAAGAGTTTATGCTGAGGGATGCACCCTAGCATTTTAATAATAAAAATTTTTTCTGTGTAATTTTTTAATGTATTTCATAGAATTTTCACACATTTCCTAAAATTGACTTTTTCTGTATATTTTATCATAATACAAACATGACAGAAGCTAAGAATTCATAGCTAATAAGTTGTTGCTTATTCTGGAAATATGATCCATCTTTTGGTGATGAAATCACCTCCTATTACCCACATATAGTTAAACTCAAGGGGAAATAACTCAGGTTTTCATTGGAAACTGTGCAAACAATAGTTTTAGTTGTAAAAATAATTTGGGGGCTGGGGAGTAGCTCAGTGTTGGTGTGTGCTTAGCACAATCCCCAGCACATACATACACATACACACCTAATTTTCACACATTAAAAATGGCAGGTACAGGCTGGGGATTTAGCTCAGTGGTGCTGCACCTGCGTGGCAAGTGCAAAGTCCTGAGTTCAATCCCTGGTTCAAAAAAAAAAAAAACCTCAAAAATGGCAAGTATGGGGATTACCTGACTCACTTGACATGATGGAATTTTTTCAGAGAATGAAGGCTTTCTGGAGCCAGGAAAAAGCCCCCCAAAGACCCTTCTTTGAAAGGCCTAGACATTGTCCAGCCCAGTGCTAATGGGTGGGGCAGGGCCTCATGGAAGGAAGTCAGGTCACTAGGGTTTACCTCTAAAGGGGAACTAGAACCCTAATCCCTTCCTCTTTATACTTCCTGGCCATCATATGGTGAACAGGCTTCCTCTTCCACAGGCTCCCACTGCCATAATGTGCTGTGCCACCACTGGCAATGTGACCATGGTCTGAAACTCAGACAAACCTTTCCTCCTGAGTTGATTTTCTCGGGCATTTTGTCAAGTTAGCTAGAGACCAAACTGATAGGTCTCTCAACACACTTTACTCCTGCAGAAAGCAGTCACCTGAGGAGGCAACATGCCTACTGCCGTGGCCTTTACTACCCAATGCATGTGAAGCTGCCTTCAGGACGTAGGTAAGTCCCCAGACTAAGGAGAAGCCCCACGGTCACTATGTGTGTATTTATTTACTTATCAATGCTGGAGATGGAACCCAGGAACTCTTCTTCCTCACCAAATCCAATCCTGAAGGACCAGTCAAAAGAAAAAACAGTGGGTTCCAAAACAGATTCTGAATAAAGAGTGACACTCAGAAAATCTAAGTTCTCAGGAAGACAACTCTGAAATGAACAGCAATCATCCACATACTGAATTTCTATCAGTGATGGTGAACCTTTTAGAGCTTTTAATTGTAACAAATGGCTATAAGCATGCACACCAGGGGTTTGTCCCCACTCTATAGGTGATTTTAAAAATCCAGGCACATAACTACTTTCTGGTCACACCCCTCATTTGTTTTGCTCTGTTTTGTTTTTGAGACAGGGTCTCACTATGTTGTCCAGGCTGGTCTGGAACTCCTGGATTCCAATGATCCTTCCACCCCAGTCTCCTGAGCAATGAGACCTAACAGTCCATGTGTGGGACAGTCACTGCACTTGCTCCTGAGCGAACCAGCATTCACACAACTCCTGAAATAGGTTTGCCTCCTCTCCGTTCAGGAATAGGAGGTTTGCAGTCCACAGTGGTGCAATCAAGAGAGGGGAACATTCTGAATCTTATCTAGACAGGGCTCTTAAAGACAAATGAAAAAAGTGGTGGTGGTGAAGGCCTGTCATTCCAGCATTTAGGAAGCTAAGGCAGAAAGATTACTGCATGTTTGAGGCCAGCAAAGGCTGCTCAGTGAGACTAGTGAGACCTTGTCCCAAAAAATAAAATGATAAAATAAAATAAAAATGACAAATGGACCTTTCTCAGGAACTACAAGGTTAGGGAGGTCCCTTGTCTAGCAGGATGACTGGTTTCTGCTGCAATATGAACAATAAATCAGCATTCCATAGGGCAGTCCAGAAGATAGGCTTTTCTCTAGCAGGTGTCATTTCCAACACTTCCCCCAGTTAATCTAAATTGGTAAGGATCTGTTCATGTGTCTAATACATACTCGACATTACAATGTTGATATCATACTGCTAATCAAAACATAAAATTCAAGGATCCGTGATGACCTAGATTTAAACTAGGCCCAACCTCTCTCTTAGTTGGCTGGTCTGTATATGTCTGAGGGGATGGTAGATGTCACAACACAGCAAGGAGGATGAAGCCTCATCACACTCTTTCACACATACAGGCCTTCCTGTCCTCCTCTGGACAATGGGGACATCTCCTCCACAGTGGCCACAAGGATCAAACAGAACAATGCCCAAGCAAAGTGGTGAAAATGGACAAGATATACTTTTGTGAGAGAGGGCTGCTTTTACCAAGGAGCTGGAAGAATTTGAATGCTCAAGGCACCCAAGGAAAGGCCTGCATCAGAGGATGGGAGACAGGGGATAGCCTGAGTGCCTATACTGAATGATGCCTACTCAAGTCCCCTCCAGTGCTAAGACAACCCTCGGGGACCACCTTCTGCTCTTCCTTCCTCAGGACAGGTAACACTGGCACAACTCTCCCCTCTTCAGTGACAGGCACCAGAGCAGTGAGTGACCGGCTCTGGTCACCCAACAGGTAGGCTGAGAATACCAGTTTCCTGCCTCCCCAGGTGGTTACAGACTATCACCTAGGTGCCAATGACTCACTGGGCTAGAGTTTGGAGAAGAAATGGACTGGGAAAGGTGGCATCACATGCCCAAGGAAACACTCGGCAGAGCCAAGGTTCGAACCTAGTGTCTGCAGCTTAGAGGTGGGTTTTCTTCCCACTGTCTGCCCAGGTGCTAAGAAGTCTCAGGAGGCAAGGTTTATTTTGCAACCAGGATGAAGAGCAGATTCCTTTAGAAAAAATCAGCATGGCCCAGAACTTCTCTTATCTAACACTCTTTTTGCTATTTCTTTCTTTTCTATGGGGGTGGGTGGGTACTGAGGATCAAATTCAAGACCTTGTACTTGCAAGGCAGGCACCGTGCCACTGAGCTAAATCCCAGGCCCCTTTTTGCTATTTCTGATCAAGAATAAAAAGTCAAACTGATTTTATCCAAATAGAAAACATACAGGAGCAAAACCAGACCCTTGATAGGAAGAACTGAGAAGGTACAACTAAAACATCAACAGCAACATTTCTGGGCCGGGGATGGAGCTCATGGTAGAGTGCTTGACTAACATGCACAAGACTCTGGATTCAAACCCAGACATTAAAAAAGGGGAAAATGTTCCTTTTAGCCTTCCCTGCTCCCTTCTCTGGGAGATGCCAGGAGCTGCTAGAAAAACAAAAATGACTTCTAGGCCAAGGGCAACTGACCAAGGCTAAAGGTCTTGCAATCTGGAGGGCTGGGCCCAAGGGCACAGACTACCTCTCTGCAGCAGAGACCTGGCAGCATCTCCAATAAGTAACAATGAAGAAAGGGGTGGGATGCAGACAAGGCCGACCTCGACAATGCACTCAAGGAAGTGTGTCTAGTGAGCTGCAAAACCCACTTTATATAACAGACCTTTGTCTGTCCCAGATAAGAGGGAAGACAAGAGCCAATTAGAGTGTTTCAAGGATTTAGAAGCAGCTGAGATTTCCTGGGGGACAGTGTAGTGAGAAGGAAGAGGTAGAGACAGGCTAACTCAGACAACCCCTGTCATCTTGGGAGGAAAGTGTTAAGAAGAACAATAACGAAACCAGGCCTTGTATTGGTTTGTATTATACATTTTTGTTTTGGGGGGATTTGGGTTTTTTTTTTCTTTTGTTTTTTTGTTTTTGTTTTGGTTTGGTTTGGTTTGGTACCGGAGATCAAACTCAGGACCTTACACTTGCGAGGCAGGCAGTAGCACCACTGAGTGAAATCCCTGGCTCAACATTATACATTTTTGGTCTTATCTAAGCATAAGAAATCCTTATCTTTCAGGATAAAGAAGAAATTTGCAATACTGATTGCTTCTACTTAGAGGATATTACGTAGCTTGAGGGACAAAGGTAGAAGGGAAACAGTTTCCTATATGTCCTTTTTTTTCTTTTTTTGTTTTTGTGTTTTGAGACAGAGTCTCACTAGGTAGTTCAGACTGTCTTTGAACTCACTATGTAGCCCAGGCTGGACTGGAACTTGAAGTGATCCTCCTGCCTCAACTTCCCAAGCGCTGGGATTACAGGTATGTACACCATGCCCAGCTCTTATATAGTATATTCCTTTAAGTCTTTGAAATTTGACTTGAATCATATGAATGGATTATCCATTCAAAAACAAGCTAAGAACTGGGTATGGTGATAAAAGCCGTAACCCTCTACTCAGAAGACTACAGCAGGAGGAACCCAAGTTCAAGGTCATGTTGGGCAACTTAATAAGACTTCCATGGCCGAGCAAGTGTGGTGGCGCACACCTGTAATCCCAGCATTTGGGAGGCTGAGGCAGGAGGATTGCTGTGAGTTCGAGACCAGCCTGAGCTACATAGTGAGTTCCAGGTCAGTCTCACTACATAGTGAGACCCTGTCTCAAAAAACAACAAAAAAAAAGTAAAAAGAGCTAGAGATGCACTCAGATGTAGAGCTTGCCTAGTGTGTGTGAGTCTCTGGGTTCCATCCCCAGCACTGCAAACAAGTATTTTGTTGGCTGGGCATGGTGGCGCACACCTGTAATCCCAGCACTCAGAAGGCTGAGGCAGGAGGATTGCTGTGAGTTCGAGACCAGCCTAGGCTACATAGTGAGTTCCAAGTCAGTCTCAACTACACAGTGAGACCCTGTCTCAAAAAAAAAAACAAAAACAAACAAATAAAAAAAAAGTATTTTGTTTTGTTTTAAAACAGAGTCTCCCTATGTAGCCTAGGCTAGCTTTGAACTCAGAGACTCTCCTGCTGCAGCCTGCAAGTTCAAGGCCAGACTGGGCTACATAGTGAGTTCAAGGCAGCCTGGGATACATAGTGAGATCCTATCACAAAAAAAAAAAAAAAAAAAAAAAAAAAAAAGAAGATCCCAGCTAAAATCATGTTGTTGAAACTAAAGTACAGAAACAGATGAGTGGTTGCCAGGAGATGCGGTTAAAAAAGGGAACTGGCTACAAAAAAAAACAGGTACTTTCTCGGCTGATGAAACTATCCGCTCTCTCCTGATCATGGTGGAAGTTACACATCTGTATGTATCTGTCAAATTCATAGATTTGCACACTCAAAATGAGCAGTCTACTGTGTGCAAATTAAACCTTAATGAAATTGAGATAGAATAGAAGAAATAAAGCTAGGTAAAAAGGAGACAAGCAAATAGAGATTTTAAAAATTGTACTTTTCGGCTGAGGATGCAACTCAGCAGCACCAAGCCTGCCTGGCAAGTGCAAGCAAGGTCCTAAGTTCAATTCCTGGTACAGGGAAAATAAATAAATAAATTGTACTTTAAAGCAAAACTGCAGTTTCTGAACACAGGCCCAGTTTATTTACTTTTTTTCCTTCTCCCAAATCAACAAACCTAGGCAAATCCCTTTCGGGTCTGCTCATTCCCTTTTACTTACAAAGGGTCCTCACTCACTCATGAAAGGCCACCCTTTGGGAACTTCCCCTAGGAACAGACCCTTATCTCACTAGGGGTGGGCCATCCTCTCCTATCCACCAAGACTAAAGTGAGAGATTATCGAATTCCAGATTTCCACCTCCTGAAACACACAAAAGATCCCCAGTTCCTGACTGTATTTGCCTCATTTCCTTGAACATCTGCACTACCTTCTTAAAAGTGTCCTCTATCTCCCCCTAATAAACACTTCTCAAGCCTCTTTTACTGCTGTGTCCTGAAAATTCTATTTCCATGACAGGAGTCAGGGAACCCACCTACCTATTGTAAATGAGAGGGTTGAGTTCCTTATTTCAGCCTTGAGGACCCTCAGACACAGCCTGAGACAAATGATTTTAAAAAAAGAAAATCACAGTGCAAGAAGATAGCAAATTTAAGTCTAGCTTGGGCAACTTATCAAGACCCTATCTCACAATAAAAAATAAAGGCTGGACACACACCTATAATTCCAACACTCAGGAAGATCGCCATGAGGCCAGGCTCAACTACACCGCAAGTGGTAGTGGTATAGTACCTTGGTTTCAATCCCCAGTAACATACACACACACACACACACACACACACACACGCAATCATATGAAGAGTGAAGACCCCTCCAAGATACTTTTATAATAGATGAGGAAACAGACTCTAGGAGGGGAACACGACTCACTCATGCTGAGCTAACAGGACCCTAGGACCCTGCTTTCCCAAGGTGAAAGATGGGGTTCCCACAATGTCCACTGCTGAGTTAACTCCCAGCCTCTCCAGGTGGGGTTCAGGGTTCCCCTACTGTAAAATGAGGAGGGAAATTACTGCTGAAGGCTTTCCTTCTGCAAACAATTCATCCTATCTCCAGTCTGCTGGAGGGTAAAAAGCTCAGGGCTCTGGAGTCACAAAAACTCCTCAGAATGTTTCCTGGCTGTGTCTGAGGCAAGCCTGAGCACAATCAACCAAGGGTAATAATTCCCTTTGGGCCGGGGGTTTTGTAGCTTAATGGCAGTGCACGTGCCCAGCATTTTTGAGGTCCTAGGTTCAATCCCTAGTATTAAAAAAAATTATCATGGGGGCTGGGGATTTAGCTCAGTGGTTTGGTGGCCTGCCTTGCAAGCACAAAGACCCGAGTTCAATCCCTGGTACAAAAAAAAAAAAAAAAAAAATTATCATGGGCCTGGGATTTAGCTCAGTGATGCA